ACTTTTATGCTTTTATAAGCCAGTTGGACTGTGAATTTTATAATTTTGTCTAAATAACATTATTGTGCTAATAAGGCAGAATACACCCAAAAAAATCAAATCTGCACGCTGCTTTCTGTCTGGGTGTTTTAGGGCTTTAAGACGGTCAGTTTCAACAAACACTTATTTTACCCCCATGAATCTTATTGAAGCTTAACTGATGTGACTATAGAACTTGATGCTACCGTGTTAAATAGTGACATTGAACTTGGAGTCATCATGACAGAACACAACTTGTCATAAAAAAATCAAAATGCTCTTTGTTAAACTTACAACTGTCCTTTTTTTTAATCTCTCCAGAGGACAAGACCAGCACATTCGCTATGAGCACATCTACCTGCCAGAGCCCCCTGGCCAATCAGAGGTGGACTACACAGACATCAAGCGCCCTCGTATAGAGATGGGACCAGAGTCTCTGGTGAGGCCTTCATCCCACCGGCAGCCATTATCTTTGGGAGGAGCTGAGGATATGACAAAGGTCAGTAGTGTTTTAAGTATGACATTTTATCTACAGTCTAAGTTTCTACAGTTAAGCATGTTTTATAATAAGTAATTCATGACCTTCCTGTGAATAACAGTGAAATTAAACTGTAAATTCATAGTATAAGCTTGACCTGTATTTAAGTAGAAAGCCGTCTGTACTGCAGTGGTTTGAAGTTGGTGTTTAAAAAGAGGAAGACATTATTTTTGGAAATTGTTGGATTTACAAGATTACTCTTTAAAATAATATTTATAATTTGGGTACAGAAGTATTTTCTGTCAGAAAACCCTAATTTTCTAAAATGTTATTTGGCCAATTCTTCTAGCTTCTTTAAGAAGCCTAATAGATTTTATTAGACACACCGCAGCAGGGGTTGTAGAAGAGGATTCTACTCTAAAGTTAAGCCGGATCTCTGTGAGCAGGAGTGAGAAAGTAAGGGAGTTGTGAAACATCAATTAATAATAGAGCTGACCTAGATTTCAAAAGACTGAGGGTGAAACTGCAGATCAAAATGACTGTGTTGCAGCGTAGAGTTGATGTTTAGGGGCTGCTCTTAACACAACAGAGCTCCTCTAACTGCCAGGGGACACTATCATTTTAAAGAATAGTAAATAGATACTGTAATAACAGTTAAATAGAAAAAAAGGTCTTTAGCTAGCAAACTGTTCAGGAATGCTACTGGTTCTCCTTAAAACAGCAAGAGCTGGAAACCTTTTATTTACATCAGTAAAGTCAAATCCAGTCACTGCATGGAACAAGAGCTCCATATGATAATGTATTCTTTGATGAGGGCTACATGCAATATGAAATGAGTCAAAGGGCAAGTGTGTAGAGGCGCAGATAATATGGAAAAGGGAAAAGGAGGACATGGAAACCAAAGACTTTTAGGAAAGAAAAGGGAGTGAGCCGGTAGTATCAGACAAAGCCGATGCCTGTAGCATGACTCATAGGTACTGGGAAACAGACGGCCAAAAGCAGCAGATTTCTTACACCACTGTACAGAAAACTGAATGAGTAGGCTGAGCTGAATCCCTAATGAATCCATTTCAATCCCAGTTAAATTGCAGATTTTTAAGTGTTGTTGTATTAAAATTGAAGATTTTCTTTTTGTTTTTAAACTCAAAAAATATGTTATTTTTTTCTCCAAAACTAAGATTCTGTTCAAGTGTGTTTCATCAGAGATTTAAACTAAACATCTGGATTTTTTTCTCAGATAGGTTACTCCAGTGCAAAGCACAATTGTCTTTATCATTACATAACGTTCTATCAGAGTTTTTGTCAAACGAGTTTGAAACATTTCCAAGTAAAGCAACTAACTTGGCAAGTTAGCTATCCGTTTGCAACAGGAAGCTTGTAGATAATATTTCTTATTAACCTAAAATAATAACAAAGAAAGCTTTTTAAACTTTCACTTAAAATTACTTATTATTTTTCTTTTTATTATTATTATTATTTTATTTTATTTTTTTGTTGAAATTTGTCGACCCAAAGCCAAAGAGACTGAGCACCATGTCAGCTCATGTAATTTAGGGCATTTTAAGGACATTTTATATTAGATTTTTAACCTTCATTTCTTAGAAATGCTACATGCATTATTTTTCTTTCCATTGCATGACAGCAAATTGATTCAGTGGATAACTTGCACAACTTCCTCACAATAAATAAATAATAAAAAGTTATTTCAACATTGCAGAGGTGCTGCTGAGTTGCGCTACACTGACTCCAGTTCCCATTTTGAACAGTAGCCTTTGCTGTGAAACATATTACAGCAGCAAGACCATCATAAGTTGTACAAGAAGAATATTGTTCATACATAAAACTAAAGCTCGTACCGCTGCTGTTCAGTCATTAACAGCAGACATTAAGTTTGTTGCAAAGTGTTTAATGACTGATTTCAAAGTGATACCATATGTTTTTATCATCTTATTGATTAAAATTGATTGACTTCTCTTTTACTTTTAGATTGGGTGAGTTGTTGAGGGGGTGGGGGGGGTCTTTTTATAATCTGCTAGGAATGTACTCTCAAGGAAACTTGCTGAAATTGGTGCAGTCTGTTGCAACAGTTTTATTAAAGCCAGATACTAGGTCATGTTTCAGAAAATGCTAATGCTGTATAGTATAAAAAATAGATGTACCTGGTTTTTCATACAATTTTAAAATATTATTTTCAGAAACTTTGTAAAATACGATTTGGAACATAGTAAATGCTACATGGTTATTTTGTGAATTAAACTAAATTGATTTATAATATACTACAAAAGTCTTTTGCATCATAATCAATTCCAAAGCTGTAACAAAGTTAATTCTAATAAATTAGAAAAAAGCCTTAGTCTACCTTTGGTTGATTTGTTTAGAAGATTCTCTTCTATTTMTCTGATTTGTTTAGAGCATTTTGAAGTTGTCAGTTTTGTTTTCAAATTAATTTCTCTCAAATAGACTTTCATTTTTGTTATCATTGATACTTTAGTCAACTCTGTTTCAGTACTTTATTACTAAGTCTGGTGTTTTCTTTTTAACAATTAGTTTGATGTCCAAATTAGAGAAAGCAATGAAAATTAGCCTGAATAAAAAAAAAAAGACTGATGCTTATTTTTTAACAGACTGTCTGGAAATCATGCAGTTGTAAAGCCAAAACCTTGAAAACTTTAATCAAACTCAGGTCCAGATAAATGTGTCCACAGTTGGTTGGGTTAGGTCAGCTGTTAGCTAAACTTGACTTATTTGATGATCTTTTCATGTAGTGTTACAGGTGTCAACATACTTTACTTTAGAAGATCACAAGTGTAGAAAACAAAATAAAAGGTTGTTGCATTGAGATTATACACTGCCTGGCCAAATAAGGAGTCCCCWCCTGGGTTTAACTAAGCTCCATGATGTGAGGTTGCTGCAGGTGTTCAGGTCTAAGTTCAGCAACAGTTTGTGCTCAAAGAATGAGGTCAGCTGACCTGAATATACTGAATGATCAGGTTATTCCATCAATGATTGTTTCTTCCCTGATGGCACGGCCATATTCCAAGATGACAATGCCAGGATTCATGGGGTTCTTATTGTGAAAGAGTGGTTCAGGGAGCATGAGACATCATTTTCACACATGGACTGGCTCCACAGAGTCCACTGAGAATCTTTGGGATGTGCTGGAGAAGGTCAGACTCTACCATCATCAATGAAAGATCTTGGTGAAAAATTAATGCAACACTGGATGAAGTAAATCTTGTGATGTTGCAGAAGCTTATTGAAACAAAGCCACAGAATGCATCCCTTAATCAAACTCCTACAAAATATTAGAGTTTGTGACCGTTTGTTTGGTGGCAACTTGTTTTTTGGCCAGTCATTGTATGTTGCTGCATTGTGGGTCATTTTGACTAATTATATTTCTCTGCTAGTAAAAAAAGAGAGATTTTGCTGGCCAGCCATCATGATTTTGTTCAGCCACAAACTTAGCAACAGTAAAAGTGATATAAAAATAAAACAAAACAAAACATGTTCCTAGGGCACATTGTGGGTTTGCTAAAACTAAGGCGAACAGTGTTTGATTTACACTCAGGGATGTCAAATTAGACTAAGTCAAAACATCCTAGAAGCACTTTTCCCATTTTGGGATTTTTGTGTTGATATTTTTGTGAGTCACTGGTTTGGCAGCCTTAGGCTGCTTCATCTAGGACAGCCCCTTGACATCCTCCAGCACTGACATTTTCAATCACAGCATGTCTACGAGGCTGTAACGCTGCCTGCCTAGTCCAGATTAGCCCACTTACATAACCTTCATTTTAGACATTTGAAAATAACGCAGAACAAAACCCAAGCTGGAACACACTCAGTTATTGATGGGGTTTGGCTGTGGAATAGTTCAGTATTTTCAGAACGTACTGTAGGAACAATGACAAACACATCTGGAGCAAAGGAACAATGACAAACACATCTGGAACAAAGCAATTCTGCCCCTGCAAAACAAGTCTTTATGATATATGCATTTAATGTTCAATTTGCTTGTGATTATGAAGTAATTGGTTCTTTGCTAGTCTTTTCTGAACAGCTTTAACATCTGGAGCTAACTGCACTCAGTGTATAATATTCCTGATAATACTGGATACTGCTGCTGTTCATAAACAACTCTTGACAGTAGTAGGTATCACTCTGCTGTAAACAGAGATGAGGTGAGATGGAAACACCAAACGTGCCAGCACTCGTTATTCGAATATAAAATTGTAAAGGCAATATATTCTCACATTTTCTCTATTTTGCTTGGAGAAAATTGGATTGCACAGCACATCAGTTTCAACAATTTACTATAATGTGGTGATTTCACATGGTTACTTCCCATCATTACTTGAGCTTGGCTGACGACCACATCACTTCTTTTTGATGGCCAGAAGACATATTTATGTTCAGGAATTATTTCTACACATACTGTAATTCCTCTTGGGTAATTGGTTTTGCCTAAAAACAAATACATTTAAATCTTTCAATCTGAGCAGGTTCCAGTGATGTTGTGTTCAGGCCTGCAAAGCATGCTGTGACCTCATAGTCATTATTGTTGTCTGGTGACACAAAGGCCTCACATTGGCTGTCATTACCCAGAGGGATTCATTACTGGCAATACTACCTTCTGAGATGGTATTTTAGTATTCTTGTTTTTTCTAGAATAACATACACTTTACAATCACATGTAGACAACAGTGCTTACATCAAACCAGGAGAAATGAAAACCTGTGTATTCCTCAAAGATGATACTGAAAAACACTTTTTGTTGCCATGTAACGTTCTTTTTCTGTAGACATTTTTTATTTAGCATTCATTCATTCATTCATTCATTCATTCATTCATTCATTCATTCATTCATTCATTCATTCATTCATTCATTCATTCATTCATTCATTCATTCATTCATNTCATTCATTCATTCATTCATTCATTCATTCATTCATTCATTCATTCATTCATTCATTCATTCATTCATTCATTCATTCATTCATTCATTCATTCTTCAACTGTTCTACTAAGTCTTGAGTTAGGCTATTAAAAGGATGTGACATGTCTGAAATATTAGATTTAACCAGATTTGTTTTGTTCCTGTTTGGTTTCTGCAGGAGCGTGGCAGTGCCATTGGGAAGCTGGAGCCCATCTCTCCTGTGAGTCCGGTCCATATGGACACTGATTTGGATTTGGTTCCAGCTGGCTTCTCCAAAGAGGAGCTGGTCCAGAATATGGAACGTGTTGACCGGGAGATCAGCATGGTAGAGCAGCAGATTTGCAAACTTCGCAAAAAACAGGTTCGTATTCAACATTGACTTTATCTTTAATTGAGGAATATACATTCATTAAACTAATTAAGAATACATTTCTACATGACACTAACTAAACTTTTCATTTTTGTAAAAAAAAAATTCTAACTGAGCAGAAACTTGTGCTTTATGTATATTTTATACACTTTTAGAACAGATTTCAGAAAGGAACATAAATATTTTTACATTTAAATAAATCTGTATAGGTATCTCAGTAGGGATGTTAGTTTGGTGTTGCATGTGTGGCATGAGATCTAAAAACTGGTAGACTGTTGCTTCCTTATAATCTCTGCATTCAGGTTTGTAGCCATTTGTTGCTCAGTGTGCAGCGATTATATACATTTACTCTTTTAGGATCCTCTATTCACTTTTCTTTCCTCTACACTTGAGCCTTTTTTTTAAGACAAGTCAGTTAAAAATATATGAGGCTATAAATACCAGCTTCCCTGAGGGAGCAGAATTATGGTGGAGGTTTGTTACTGCAAAACCACTCGTCTCCCTGCCAGCTCTGCCACAGATGACTGCGTACCACGTTTAGTGAAGGAATTGTGCAGATAAGATTGCTCTCATCTATGCGACATACTTGCTCATCAATTTACCGCCTATTACACTTTTTAGCAAAACAACAAAAACATCAAAAACAACTTATAGTATGACGGAGAGATGCATCTGTGTCTGATTGAAGTTATTGCTTTCAAAGTGCCCCTTTTTATAAAAATAAACATTTTATTCTTTTTAATGTGAATAATATGTCTTTGTAAGACATATTAGCAAAGTGCCATCAAAGCAATGGTTGATAATGATTTTTTAAATATGCAAAACACCACTCATATTTTAGGAAAGATGAGCTCAAACACGTTTTATGTTTTAAATAGATTATTGAATGGAGTCACACTGAAAACTTGCAGGATTGAGCTTTACAACTAATTTTTGTGCACTTTAAAGATGAGAATTGGAAAAAGGAAGGGAAAAAAAGCAAACCCCAAGAAAAATRTTGCACTAGCTGTGGGGGAAGATAGACAAAACAAAGCTGAGTAAGGAGCCGCATCATTCAGCTAAGTGAGTTAGCTGATCTAGCTCTTCCAGGTCTCTCAGCCAAGWGACTGCAGCTCGGCCTCAGGCAACTGTCTGCAGAGCTGCAGCATTGCTCCAGTGAGTGGTGCTTTTTATTAATGTTGAAAGCAATAAAAAGTAAGCTCTTTGCGGTTCAGGTACTTAACATTTAAAGATAATCTTTAAAAAGTTATGCACCTATCTCATTTTTACCTGGCACATTTTGTTAGTCCCACTGTTTGGGTCGTTTTGTTCTCCACCCAAAGCTGCAAAATTGTCTCTCCATGACATAGTTGCGTGACGAAAATTGAGTCTTTTTTTTTTTCTCTCAGAGTAGCTTTGTATGTCCCTTTTTGACACAAGGYCTGCTGGACTGTTTTCTCACAGGATTAAGTGCAAACTATTGTGTGATTGGTCAGTAGTTYGTGGGCAAAAACGCTCAGACAACAGTGGTGTCATTTTGCTTCAACTACTCTGCTTCCAGAAACCAGCGTGTCTGTAGCATGAATAACTGTGAGGAGCAGTTGGCTGAGGCGGTCAGAAAATACATCCATCTATATGACTCTTCCAGACACACTAAAGATAGTCCCAGGAGCAAAAAGATGGCAATAGCACAGACACTATGCACGGAGGAGTTCATCAGCTGTAGTGTGGCGCTCTCTTTGTGACAAATTATAATAATAATAATTAATTATAATTATAATCCTATAGGGAGAAAAATATGTTCACGGTTTAAGGCTAGGAGAACTTAAGTGAAAACTCTGGCTGTAAACAGGTTCATACTTTTTTCTTTCCTGTTGATGTTTTGTGCAAAACGGGATTATATTATATTCCACTGTGCAGCTCATGTACTATGAGCACAGTTGAATATAATCATGTTTAGAGCATAACATCCTAACTTCATCCATTCTAAACTTGATTTTACACTGGTGCAGAAATGTCAGGTATTTACAATAATTTAGATAAGTAAATATCAGGCACTAAATAAGAGTTACTGTTCTGTTTTAATCCGGTTTAAAAGAAGAAAACAAACTCCTTCCTTCATTAAGTCTGCTGRCATAAGGGTCATATCTCTATGAAAAAAAAAACAGAGGAGAGCTGGTTTAAAACTGATGGCTGTCTTCATATTTTACTGGTCCCTAACATATTCAGGATTACATTGAGAGCCCTTTCTCAGCTTTCTAAATATACACCGTAGTTTTATAAATATTTTAACAGTCCAGCTCTCGTCAAGCGTTAAAACATCTGGACTAATTAAATACAATGATAAAACATTTTTAAAGAGTTCTGGCAGAGTTAGTGAATGGGCAGGACTTGGTGTTTAAATTACAGCCAGGATGTTGGAGATGGGGAGAGGGGAGAGGTGTGAGGGTCTTGCATGGGAATGTCCATGTTTGCCTGGACCACATGTTTATCCTGGGCTATCGTAGCACAAGATAATCCATCCTCTTTTGTGGGTCCTCACGAGGCCACTTTTTCCTCCTTTCTGAACCCTGCCAGGAGGCGGGCGGGAGGGGTACAGGGCTTAAATAGAGATCAGCTGTTTGCGAAGCACTCAGTGACACTTGCCCTCAGTGTCCAAACACCTCCAGCTGAATACAGTCTGCTTCTATTTCCATCGTGCAGCTCGCACAGCAGAAACATTTTCTGCCTAAATGTTTCTGTAAGGTCTCAGGTTTTTATGTGACTTCTTAAAATTTATGCTCAGCATTTGTCTTTTGACCTGCTAGTAATGAAGTTGTCTTTGTGCGCAGCAACAACTGGAAGAGGAAGCCGCGAAGCCCCATGAGCCTGAGAGGCCCATTTCACCACCACCCAGTGAGGCCAAACACCGCAGCCTGGTGCAGATCATCTACGACGAGAACCGGGTCAGTGGAAGGAACAAACTCAAATAGACATGCTCAGTCTGTGGCACAACCCTTTCACCAAAATCYGCTGACGTTTCAGTTTGGTTTCGCTTATCACTCATACAACACATTCACTGCCACTGTTTTAAGTTCTCTGATTATACTGCAAATAGAGACCAAAGACAGGAACGTGTGTTCTTTTTAAGATGCTTGACAAAAAGGAGAAAATTTAGAACTGTAATGTAGTTTGCTCAGTTGATGCTGTAATTATGACTACTTTTACTACCAATAGTTTTATTCTTAATTGTGTGTCATTTAAATCTCTCACTTAAATACACAAAAAAAACACCATTTAGATCAAAACCTTTGTCACAGTTTGTTTATGTCCTACCAAAGCACTTTGCATTTTATTTTCAAACAGGGTAGATGTTTTTGCTTGAAAGCATATTTTACTAAAGGTCGTCAAAGTAGGCACAATGAATCACAGGCTCTGAAAAATGTGAACAAACAGGACGACTCACCTAAATGCTAAATAACTCTGATCTTTTCTCCAAGTAGTAAAGAGATAAACAAACAGGTCTGAGGTCACCAGAAATGTTTTTCCTGCTTCAGTAACTGTTGACAAAAAAGATGTGTGCAGAAAAAACTTTATTAAGGCACATAGTGATTCTCAGTGCTCTTAGCCCCCCTAGTGGTTAGAAGCACTGACCCCCTTCTTTTTGGAACTCACGTTTAAAACTTGGAAATGGTGCTTTACCAAACGATTATTTTCTAATCGATTAATCTAACGATTATTTTTTCGATTAATCGATTATTCTAACAACAAATCTATAAGTTATTCTGATGTGAATGCACTGGAAATTTAAAATGTTTTCATCAAATTAATAAGAACAGTTCTTTAATATTGTAATATTTTCTTTAATAGTTTTTTCATGAACACAAAATATGCACTCTAGAGTCAATTCTTTAACAAAAAAAGCTTAAAAGATTTAACATCAACATAAAATCTCAACCAAAGCATATAAAATTCAACTAAAAGAAATGTAGTGCAAGATGTTAACAATCTAACAAATGAACTAAATCATTCAAAATTCAAGTCACTCTGGAAAAACTATAATAAACATATAATAAACATTTATTATTTTTTATTTAACATATTTCTCAATATATAAAAATTAACAAATATCAAGACAACATCCAACTCTTTGYATTGTAACATCAGTTGTGTAACTTTTTTCTTTAAGGTGAAAACTGTTGAAAACAAAAGACTGTTTTGTTTTATTACACAAATTAAAATCCAGCTCCACGTGTTTCTATTGATGTCATTTCCCCACTAGAAAAATTGTGTGATGGAAGTCAAATAAGGTCAAATAAGTTTAAATCAAATAAACAAAATAGGATGCGGTTAAAATTAATAAAAGGTATTTAAGCCACGTTTTGAACATCCAAAACACGTCCAACACTTGTTGGCTGCTTGTGCTCTTTAGGTCAGATGTGTGTCGGGAAGCTCCTCTTGTTTGAGACGCTGGGGGAACCGTCTGATGGGGGAACCGTCTGATGGGGGAACCGTCTGATGGGGGAACCGTCTGATTGGGGATCCGTCTGATGGGGGAACCGTCTGATGGGGGAACTGTCTGATGGGGGAACGTGGCTCGACCTAAAACACTGGTCTCTGTTTAATGGCGGATGAAATAAAGAAAGTGGTGGTACTTTATTTTCTTTGAGCAAGCGAACGTCGTGTTCACAAGATAATTAATCCACCAGATAATTCAGAGGYGGTCTGTTCKGTAAATTTTACTCCAGGAGCTGCGAGGCTTGTTTTCAAGCTTCAGACTGAACTGAAGCAGCGGCTGCTGACGTCATTGCGCTCTTGCGTGATGCTGTGTTCAGGACAAGCATGAAAAACTCACCACTCTTACGCCAATACGGTCGCAGTGATGCATTTAGGTACCGAAATGGAATTGCATGAACATTCACGTGGTGGTTATGTAATACAGCGAATCGATAATAAAAAATCTGCGTCGACAAATTTACATAATCGACGTCATCGATTATTTCAACTAATTGGTGCAGCCCTACTTGGAAACCTCTTTTGTTACATCATATCTTGTTTTAAAACTATTTGGAGCGTTGAGCCTCTTAGGTAAAATGTGAAATTGAAATTTTATTTTACACAGGAAAAAAAAAACACTAGAGTACCCCTAAACAATGACAAATACACATTCACTGTGATCWAGTTTTATTAAATAAGAAGCCAAACCCCAAGAGTTTAAGGAATCTTCACACTAACGTTTGCAGTCAAACTCTTACTCACATAGAGTTTAATCACAGCTCTAGGACATTGCAGATGGTAGAAGTTAAGGAGTGACTCAGAAGTCAGTAGTCTAACCTTTGTAACACTTTTCTCTGGCTTACTTCAGACACTCTGGCCTACTGCTATCCAGCCTCGCTCCAGTTGCCTCTCAGTCTGCTTCTCTTTCAGTTTCTGTTTACGTCATCACTCATTTTCTCACAAAGTCTTTTAAAGTTTTAATTACAAACTYTATGGATTTTTAGTGTTGACGCAAAGAATCCGATGTATACTACTGTCCAGAATTTCACTTTTTCATTTCAAGCTACATATAGTTTAGTTCATTCATATGTTGTTGTAGATGTTTATATATGTGTCTATAATTACTTCGGCCTCCTTTTTGAGCTGGTGTTGGTACACCATCATCTGTTCCCTGTGGGCTCTTTCAGACGGGACTACAGCCACATTTATAGCGACAGCCCATCGTCAAGCCCCAAAGACGGCTCAGCTCATGTTCACTCTTCTTATATTTAGACCATAGACATAAACACATCCTGTTATATTCATAGTTAAACTTATCCAGCCTTTAATTTCTCCCCTCTGGCCTCTATTTCTTTTTCCTGTTTGCTTCTTAGTATCTCGCTGATGATAATTTTGTTTGTTTTGTTGAGTTTACTTTGTTGACTGGCTTAATGATGCATTAGAACAGATGAAGTGAATATTTAGTTGAATCCGACTGTAGCTATTTTTACATGGATATAAGTAATCAGAATAAAAATGTGTCGTCATGGCTCCATTGAGAATGTTCTGATYTGATTCATCTCGATTGGTATGAATCTGTAATCTGAACAGCATGCATGTAAACACTTGTGGTTGGATTGTGGAGCACTGACCTGACTGTGCATGTGTGTCCTATGTCAACCTGATCGTATTTCCACCTGGCTAGATGCTAATACTGTATGTCAGGGAAATAAAATTGGTCGGTTGGTGATACAACATTTCTATTAGGATTTTTAAGAGATCAAAATTATCAAACGGTGGTCTTAAGTATAGAAACACAAGGTTATTAAAACCTGGGGTGGGCCCATTCCTTTTATGTTCATCACAGAAGTAGAGCTTCTCTGTTTTTAGGGAAAGTTTACACCTCTGCACACATCAGTCCTTCTACTCTGAATAAAAGCCTGCTACATGTAAATGCTCATCGTTATCTGATTAATTAATTTTGTGCTCTAAGTGATACATTTGGATTATTTAATCCATATCTATTTCAATCCAATCAAAGAATTTTGCWCATGTAACATGGCTAATGCCACGATAGTAAACCTGTGTGCTACTACAGGAGGTGCATGACTGAAATGTATTTGTTAATGTCTCTCCTCAGGTCTGATTGTGTGGTGTTTTCTTTTTTTTTTGAATATATCATTTTGAGTGTTGGTTGTAAAGACATTTTGCCAGAATTTAGAGGTCAGCATTAAGCGTTATTTATTTATTTCTAAATTAGTTTTCAAAGTATCCCAACCAGGAAATGAAGTAAGGTCCCTGGGGCTCCCGGCTCTCAGAGGATGAAAGTCTGCTTTTAATAATTGCTGCTCATTAAGTGCTTCTGTAGTGAGCGAGCTCTCTGAGGCAATATTCTGCAGCCTGTTACACCTACTCACTGATGAGGAAGCAACATGGAACTATATTTGCATTTATGGATGTTGAGCACGAGCAAATGTAAGGCGTCGGTCCTTTCATTTCTCTTCTGTTTTAGGTCAGAATGCACAGGAGACTTTTTAAAGTTATAAATTTTTTTTATTAAGCTGCAAGTCAGACTTCTTGCAAAGGCTCTTTGTAGGTTTATATCCAGTTATATGAATTTTAGGGCTTTTTTTTCAATGAGGAGTATGGATATAAAAGCAACATTACACAATGGTTGGTGAATAAAAGAGGCTGACACAAACATACAGAATAGCTTTGTTTCTGTTATCTCCTTTAGTTTCCCTGTATATGTCACATTTATCAGTTCACTATGGAGGAAAGATGAAATAAAAAAGGAAATGAACAGGACATGCGGTGCTTCATCAAGCAGGATTTGTTTGATATGTGAAACTGGGAGTGTTTGTAGTGGAGTGAAGAGTTACTTTGATATATTCAGAGTTGTCTGTGAAGCTGCTAAAAATTTGTACATGTCCTCTAAAGACACACATACAACTTGTTGCTCAAACATTTCTCCGTCCCAGCTTTATACCCACCTTCCACTTCAGCCACCTACAGTTTTTTTATTCACTCTTTCTCTCCTGCTTCTTACTATACTCCCACTTGTGTTCCTGCCTGCCTGCCTGCACGTTCTCTCTAACCTCTCTCTGCTAAGGGGAGGTCAGTGAGCTTTCGCTTTTTTCTGGACATAGAGCAGAGGGAGCTGAGGCGAGGAGCTATGGCCCAGCTTGAGTAAAAAGCCTTAATAATAGTCAGTGCATCCATCCCTTCAGCCATCCACCTACCCAGCAAAGCTGTGGTGTAGCCCTGGTGATCAAGTGAGCATGTTCACCGTGTTGCTGTGGTGATGGCAGAGGTGCAGGCAGGTGGCCAATGTACTACTTCTGTTTGTCTTCTCTCACCAGAAAAAGGCAGAAGAGGCTCATAGGATACTGGAGGGACTGGGACCCAGGGTAGAACTGGTGAGTGAACGCTTTGAATTAATTAGTGAATCTGGTTGTGTCTATTGAATTTTGTTGCAGCTGCTATTTCATTTGTTAGTTTTTGAGCATCTATTAGTGATTATTTTCATTTGTAATGATTTACTTTGGTTGTAATTAAATTAAGCTTAATATTGACTTATGTTAAATAATATTAAATACAATTTTGGTATTTATTGAATACTTTAAGAATCCAAATAAACCACTTTAAGTTGTGCTGATGTAGACTGTCAGTCATCCAGGACACGACAAATCGGGGGAAAAAAAACACTTCTTTTTTGTAGTAGAAAGTAGCTATTTCAACAACAGAAATCCAGTTGTTTTAATTTTTTGTTATTTTTTTAATCTACTATAAGATTTCCATATCTATCATTTTATAATCTGTTGTACAATAAAAAAATTGTGGCAGATTTTTTTTGGTAAGCTTTGTTTTTTTTAAAAAAAACCTTTTTGTCTTGCCTGCTGTTCCAGCCACTGTACAACCAGCCTTCTGATACCAAACAGTACCATGAGAACATCAAAATGTAAGTCTGACACTACATGTACTTTGATTTGTCCTTTCTTTAGTTCATTCAGCTTTATGTTACTTGGGTTTCAAGAAATGTGATACTATACTTAGCACAAAAAGTAAGGAAATTTGTGTTTGGTAGCTTATTTCTTTGTTGTAACAATGCTTCTTGGTAATAAATCTTATACTGTTAAAAAGTCTGTTCATTTTCATATTAAATGGTGACATTTGTAAGGAACATGTTTTTATGGGATGAGCAGTAAAGATGAGTATGTGGGTTGTACATAGGGCTGCAACGATTAATCGATTAATCGATGACTAATCGATTATTAAAATAATCGATGACTAATTTAATAATCGATTAATCGTTTTCTTTTTTTGTTGTTCTTTACTTWGTTTTTCTCTCCRAACTGCTTTGACABCTTCCACTGCCACATCTGCCTTTCTGTCCTTGACACACATGCACAGTAGTGGTAACTGGGGTAGGCCGTGGACATCACAAGACATTATACAGACAGGCTCTGGTATCATGGCCACCTGACAACGGAGCTCAAAAGTGTGGGATCAATTTAAGAAAATGAAAGAGAAACCTGTGCAATATCTGCAGAGCAGAACTTTCCTTCCACAGCAATTATTTTTAGTTAGCATATAGCTAAAATCTAACGATGGTTATATAATAGCAGCTGCATTCTGGCACGATAAGCTCTGTTTTATATTCAATTAACGTATGATCTGATTAGTCGACTAATCGAAAAAAACAATCGGTGATTAATCGATTATAAAAATAATCGTTTGTGGCAGCCCTAGTTGTACATATGAATAATTTGCCAAATGTCCTCTGTTAAACAGCTTATTTTGCTGGTATTGACTCTTGTTTTGAGCATCTGATACCTCCAGGTGCTGCCAACCAGGTGCCTCCTATAGGATTTATTGCTAAGAAGCATTGTTACAAAGAAATAACTAAACACAAATTTCCTTAATTTTTGTGCTAAGTTTATATAACTACAGAAACTCAAAACTAAGATATACTTGATGAGAGCTGTATAGTATTTGTCTGCGTTATACCAATTTGAGAAGTCACCAAAGGTGCTAAACATGTTGGTTGTTCAATTAATAATATAAGTGATGCTATTCAGTTTGCAGGTTTACTGTTTGTGACACTGGGTAAATTGTTTTTGCTCTATGATTCTAACTAATGGTGATCTTAGCAGTTCTGAGTACTGTGGCAGAGTGGTTAGGGGAGTCGTCCTGGAACCGGAAGGTCTCCGGTTCGATCCCCCGTCCAGCTGTCTCAATCGTTGTGTCCTTGGGCAAGACACTTAACCCCAATGCTTCTGATGTGTGTCCCATCAGTGTATGAATGATTGGCACTGATTAGTCTCCATAGATGATTGTACATGTTAGCTTTTTAGGAGATCTAATAGAGTGCTGTCTGAATGGGTAAATGAGGACACAGATTGTAGTGTGAAGAGCTTTGAGTGTCCTGGTTGGGTAGAAAGACACTATACAGGTACAGTCCATTTACCATTTATAGTTGTCATATTATATATTGCAATAGTAACAAATTTGTTACTTTTTTTTCAGTTTAAATGTCTCACTCCTCATGGCAAAGAATAAACACTGTAATTTTACATGCCAGTGTCCTTGGGCCACACAATGGCAAAATTACAGTCTTTGCTCTGAAAACCTGAGAATTGGACAAAGCACAAAAACTGTCTTGCTGTTTATAAACAGGTGTTTTCAGAACAGAGAAAAAACATTTTACATCCTTTAGTGAGTTTGCACACTTATTGTGAAATGACTGAAATGCCAAAATATACAAATGATAAAAACACAGGAAGTGTGGTTACCTAAATATTTGTAATCATGTGATTTCACAACAGTGTGTCTCATTTCCCTTTTTAATATGTCAAGTGCTTATATGTCCACATGTCATGGGTGATGTAAGTTGTGTCTGGGAGTGTTTAGTTAGTCTGAGTCAGAAGCCGTTTTTCCATCCAATTTTAATTGGAAATGTGAGCAATTTTTTTTAAAGGGCACCCATTATGGGGGTCCTAGCACAAGTTAGGGTCCATCTGTGGGCTATACAAAACATGTTCATTTGATTTAATTCTCAAAAAGCCTCTCAAATAATGAAATTTCACCTTTTCAGTTCTTCCTGTTCTTCAGCTCTCCAGATCGTGCTGCATACACTAGTTGCAATGGAAACCCCCCTCCCAACCATTTGTTTACATTAGCTCGCCCCCCCACCCTCCCCCGACATGGTAGAAGTGAAGTTTCATAGTGAGATTATTTTCACAAACAGCTTTCTTTGGCAATATTGTTAGAACATTGTCTTCAAAGATAAAAATAAAATGAATCCAGGCATCTCTGTTCTCTGTGGCTGCTGTAAAAACAGCACAACTATTGTCCCTTGAGGAAGTGGGCGGAGCTTCACCTCGGGTTGCCTCGTGAGGAGCTGGAGTCTGGTTTATATTGCTAGGTGACTGTTATTGTGACGTCAGAGTAACGTGCTTTGAGAAATACCATGTTTGCAGATACCTAAAAATACATGTAATTACAGCTTAAAAAAACCTGCTGGGCGCATTTTTTGGTTTTTGGACTGCTTCTCTAAGCAGTAGAGACCCAAAAGTAAGTTTAAAAACATGATAAAAGTGAGTTTTGCATAATAGGTGCCCTTTAAAAATTCGCAAAAAAGGAAATGCGAATCAGACGTGTTTCCATCAACTGGCTGGAAGCAAATCAGTTATGTCAGACGCCTGCGTGTAGTAAACAGGAAGTAAAGTCGCAAACTCGCATGGTCCACACATCTCAGGAAAATGGAGAGAAGTTATCAGGAATGTGTTGCTACTATCAGGAAARTTGTAATTATTCTGTCATCAACTGGTTCCGGTGATGTTACATGCTGTCTGGAGACGTATAGAAAGAAATGCAATTCTCTTCACGTTACGGGAATAACAGAGAATATGCCGACAGCAGGGGGAGGGTCCAGCTGCAGTCGCTCTGGTACCGGACAGACAGCTGGAACAGCCGATTAACCATGTGAGGTAAATGTTCGCTACGTAAAAACTTATTCGGCAAATGTGTTTCCATCTCCTTTTGCGTATTAACTATTTTTTGAAAAAAACAAAAACCACCTCAAGCGAGCGCATCAACTTTTTTGCGAATTAGAGGACGTTTTTTCAAGTCATGCCGTTTCCATTCATCTTTTCTGATGCGATACTTCAAAATGTGCATTAAAAAATGTTGATGGAAACACGACTAGAGTGATTGAGAGATGCTAAACCCCACTATCCTCCTGATATGAGCATAGAACAGCTTCAAGATAATGCCACTGTGTTTGGCCTGCTGTCCACCTCTGCTACCTGTACTGTCTGTGATCCTGATTTATCTGAAAATAAATTAGAAACACTTAAAGAAAAAATACATTCCAGAACTGCAAACCAGTGCAGTATTTTTTACACATTCTCTATCTGATAACTACATTTTATCCCTTTTTGATTAGCTTTAAAATGTTATTTAGGCAGCAGAAACTTAATTTTTACTTCAGAATTGATTTCGGTTTCAAAATGGACTTATAACCTACTAGGGATGCACGATATATCGACACTAATATCGGTATCGCTCCGATATGTAAAACTGGGCCGATATTAACATCTAATATTGATTTCCCACTTTTTAGCTTTGTGTTTCTGTTTTGGGAGGGGAGATGGTTGATTGAGCGGCATCTGTCTTATCTTGATAGTGATATTGACGTTGTGTAGCCAGGAACAACTGAAGTAGGGAGCCGTGTCAGACGTCTGGTCGTTTATTTACGGTATCACAAAAAGACCCAARTGTGTTTGTGCGTACATGTATAATATAATTTGTGTGTTTGTGCAATATTTGTAAATATCGGTTATCGGCCATAACAGCAATAATTATATCGGATATCAATTTCGGCTGAAATTTTCAAATCGATGCATCCCTATGAGCTACCACTATGTTGTTTCAGCTATATTGATTTTTCAGGATAAAGGCTTCACATAGAAGGCAATTTAGTTTGTTGTGTAAGTTGTTTAAAAACAAATCTACAATATCTAACTGAAATGCTTGGACTAGTAGTTCTGAAATAGCTGCAGGGCAAAACTATTTATAATAGATGAGTTGTGTTTGTGTTTAGACTTGGTAGCCAAATGTTGCTTAAAATGTCTGACAAAATAAATTATCACTGCTAAAGACTTGGTCAGTACTGCTAAGAGGAACATCAAAACAGAACATGTGATTGTTGTATAATGTCAGGACCTGGGATGGACAGCAGAGGCAGTCAGTAGATAAAAAAGTACAGTCAATAAATAAAAAGCCTCAATCACATTTCCAGCTTTGACGTCTCAATAAATTATTGCTGCTGTGTTGATGACCATAATTTCTAAAATAAATAGTTAGCTTAGATTTGATTTGGTGCAACTTGTCAGTCTGTAAACACAACATAACATGCCCCAGGCGTAAATAACAGTTAAAGGAATCCTACTGTGAAGATTTGAAGAGACAATCCAAACCTATTTCTTGCCAATACTTGATTTTTTTCTGCTTCTGTTATTGTTTATAAGCCATTCAGCTGTAGCTGGTCATAACCCAACATTTCCCTTAAACTCTGCAACATTGACTCAGATTTTACTTTTATTAAAATGAGATTTCAGTTTCATTCAATACATCGTGCCCATTTTACAATACTGGATACCTGCAACGAGTATAGCAGAAGGYTGACAGCTAGACTGCAGTGTCTATCAGTAAAGCTTATGAGACACATCAAAAGGCTGTGGAAGGGTTATAATAGCTTTGGCACCGTTGCTGGGCACAGTGGCATACCACAAGATGTTCCTGACCTATTAGCCTCACACTGCTGTCTTCATGTTCTTTGATCCTTGCACCGTTTGATCAGCAATATTGCCTCAAAGCAATTAACTGAAAACTCCTCTCACACCTTTGTGTGTGTGTGTGTGTGTGTGTGTGTGTGAGTGCGTGCGTGCGTGTGTTTTATTAAACACCAGTGTGTCAGTTTGACCAAGCACAATTAACTTCTTTGTTTTGTTAACCGGTCTGATAACTTTGGCATTCATCCTTGTCAGCATAGATGACTTCTAGTATCTCTGTGAATCTTTCGGTCTTTATTCCAGTTCATCTCTTGCACGCACACACATGCACACATACACACACAGCTGATTATAAATATCCCTGGCTTATGCAGATACGATGAGCACAAATTTTGGCTTTGAAGTTGGAGCTTTTTGCTCAGTGAAGTTGTGCCACTGGTGAACATCTGTCACAAGTATGCATATAATGAATCTTTCAGCCATCATGTCTTAGAAGTATTATACCAAATTACAGTGTTCTCCAATATCTCAGAAATGGCTCCAGCTTAGAGCGGGACAAAGGAAACCTTTTGTTGGGTTACAGGGCTGCTAATCTTGGCTTTTGCCATCTGGTGTGCAGAGGACAATAACATCTCTGTCTTTAAAGAGCTTTATTCTGCCAGGCCTGTTTTTACCTTTGCAAGTCTGTTGTCACCCATCATAACCTAATATGTGAACATTGAACCTATTTAGATGAATGTAGTGTTATATTTCCTGCATCTGCATTCAATCGTTTAGCTAAGTTGAAGCCACGGGCCCTTCTCTTTTTCTCTTTCTAGACCGTCAGTATTATCTTTAAATGTTTCTCTTACACAACAAGAAGCCACCATCTTAGTCTTCTGTCCTTGCCTATGTCCAGAATAAACCTGCCACTCAGGTGAGGTGTCTGATGTAGAGTAAGATTACATTAATCAGTGGAGAACATGACCTTACAACTGACAGATTAAGTGTCAGGAATAAAACTCTGTCTTGCAGCAAAGAAAGAGACAACCGAGTGACTGCCTAAGGAGATTACCGGCCCTGACCTTTATTTGAAGCTGTGTGTCTGCCTGTTCCTACCACAGACAAGTTTTACAAGTTTGGCTCTCTTTTCTACCCCAAAGAGAGATTGAGTTTATCGAGCAGCTGTACTCAGAGACCCACATTGTTTGTGTTTATGTGAGAGTGTAATGTGAGCCTGGTTTTGTTTTATTCATAAGGCCTAAAAGAAGTGAAGCATACAAAGTGGTAAGGGTAGGGGAGCATGTGCTTTAGTACCTAGAAAACATCATACAATTAGGTTTATATTTATTTAGACACTGACACAAAGTTTTTTTAACCTGTTTACTGAAGCAAATTCAAGTTATAGTTATATAATGTACAAGGACATAAAGTCCAGACATTCAGTTTTCATTTGAGGGTATCCATATTAAAATGGGATGAAGGGTTTAGGAGTTTCAGCTCCTTAACATGTGCCACCCTGTTTTTAAAGGGACCAAAATTAATTGGACAATTGACTCCAAGGCTATTTCATGGACAGGTGTGGGCAATCCCTTTGTTGTGTCATTCTCAGTTAAGCAGATAAAAGTCCTGGAGTTGATTTGAGGTGTGGTCCTTACATTTGGAAGGTTTTGCTGTGAAGTAAACATGCGGTCAAAGGAGCTCTCAATGCAGGTGAAACAAGCCATCCTTAAGCTGCAAAAACAGAAAATAACTATCCGAGAAATTGCTACAATATTAGGAGTGGCAAAATCTACAGTTTTGGTACATCTTGAGAAAGGAAGAAAGCACTGGTGAACTCATCAATACAAAAAGACCTGGACGCCCACGGAAGACAACAGTGGTGGATGATCACAGAATAGTCTCCATGGTGAAGAGAAACCCCTTCACAACAGCCAACCAAGTGAACAACACTCTCCAGGAGGTAGAAGTATAAATGTCCAAATCTACCATAAAGAGAAGTCTGCATGAAAGTAAATACAGAGGGTACACTACACGCTGCAAGACACTCATAAAAAGGGACTGGACTTTGCTTAAAAAACATGTAAAAAAAAAAAAAAAAGCACAGTTCTGGAAGAACATTATTTAGACAGATGAAACCAAGATCAACCTCTACCAGAATGAAGGAAAGAAAGAAATATGGCGACGGCATAAAACACAGCAGAGCACTGTGATGGCTTTGAGCATGCATGGCTGCCTATGACACTGGGTGTGTTTATTGATGATGTGGCAATGACTCAAAACATAAAGCCAAAGCAATCCACGAGTCGATTAAAGCAAAAAAAGTGGATTATTCTTGAATGGCCAAGTCAGTCATCTGATCTCTAACCGATTGAGCATTTCACTTGTTACAGCCTAAACTTCAGACAGAAAGGCCCACAAACAAACAGCAACTGCAGTGAAGGCCTGGCAGAGCATTAAAAAGGAGAAAACACAGCGTCTGGTGATGTCCATGAGTTCAAGACTTCAGGCAGTCATTGCTAACAAAGGGTTTTCAACAGTGTGTGTTTTTTAAACACAGTCCCATCATTTCAGGGGCTTTAGCTCCTCACAATTTTATGCAGTCATTTTGTTCAACACACTGAATTAAAGCTAAGAGTCTGAACTTCTACATAAACTGAAATGTTTTGTTCAAAATTTATTGTAGTAATGTACAGAACCAAAATTAGGAACATATTGTCTCTATCCAAGTAGAAATGGACCAAGCTGTATATTTAGATACAGTATGAGACAATTTTTTWAAAAGCTTAATGACTGTCTAAAACAGTTTTTCTTAATGTTCTTGTTTATTTCTCCATCTGGTCTATTCATACCTCTCTTTTATTTTACTATTGCAGAAACCAGGCCATGAGGAAGAAGCTCATCTTGTATTTCAAAAGAAGAAATCATGCTCGTAAGCAGTGGGTAAGTCGAAAACTACATTTGTGACTCTCAGCTGGGACTTAACCCATAACAAATGACTAGTTTGAAACTGGGCCAGTTGCTCCTTGAGGTGAGTGGCCATTTTAGACATGTCAGAGGGAAAAAAAAGCTCTTGGCATGATCTGTTGTCAGTACTTGCACGATGCCTTGGGGAAGAAGTAGCTCTAGAAAAACAAATAGAAAAAATTTCTCATCCTGCCATGTGAAAGAATAATGTTTTGTATGTTGTGAGCCAAACTACAATAAGCTCTGTGTAGCGTTGGTCTGTGTTCCTGCCTGACGGTGACTAATTCTGAGACAAAAAAAAAAACATGTCTTCAAAATGAAGAAATCATTGAAAATCACCCTTACAGATGAGGCCAAGAGCTCTACTCTGAAATCTGCATGAATCCACGTGTAGGGAATAATTAAAAAGAGAACACAAGCAGATTTTTGTTGTTTGTTTTGCTTTTCCCTACTACCTTCAAGCTGCAAGTCAGTGTGGTCAAGTATTACTTTTAGTTTTTTTATATCAGGAAGAATAGCTCAGATATAACACCTGTATCAAACTCTGTGGATCCTAGGTTAGTGTCTACTTTTCATTCACTTTGTGTCCAAGACGGGGAGGTAGCTTCATGTGGGGAGACATCTCCTTGTGGTTTATGAGCCCACTGAGGGTCATGTCTCCTCTGAGATTTAATGGGTTGCTTTACAAGGCTGTCTGTGAAGAAGGTAGAAAAAACAGTGGACGGCCGTCCTCCAGGCCTGTGGTTTTAGGCTTTGCTCTCATAGTGAGTGTAGCCTGTTACCCTCCCCGTCTCATCAAGCAGTGATCAGTAATTGCACTTCTTCAGATTTAATGGTCCATCAGTTATGCAGCATCAGGTCAAAAACAAATCTAAAAGAGATTATGCGAATGTTCTTGGTGACTCTGCAGCAGACTGGGATTTTTCTCTTTTCTGCAAACCTTCAGGAACAGAAGTTTTGCCAGCGCTATGACCAGCTAATGGAGGCCTGGGAAAAGAAAGTGGAGCGCATCGAAAACAACCCGCGGCGCCGAGCTAAAGAGAGCAAGGTGCGGGAGTACTATGAAAAACAGTTCCCAGAAATCCGCAAGCAAAGAGAGCTGCAGGAGCGAATGCAGAGGTGGGATTATGTTGTTTTCTTTCCGTCAACTTGATAAGTATATTTGTTACATTGTTTGTTGCTGAACAGTTCTGTTATTTTGCCAAACAAGTAGCTCAGTCATTATGTGTGTAGTTTAAAATAACAGACTCTCTGAATTTTACTTTCACAGTCGTGTCGGGCAGCGAGGAGGAGGACTGACCTCATCTGCAGCTCGCAGTGAACATGAAGTCTCTGAAATCATTGATGGATTGTCAGAGCATGAGGTAGGCGCTTCCTGTTACATTTGCTTTGCCCCTACACCTCTCCGCGGTGACATTTTTGATAACTTTTCAAAATAACTGAAAGAAGATCAATGAGGTCAGCTCTTCTCTAGATGGTTTTTGGCGGTACCATCTGGTATTTCAATTTCCTCTGCAGAACAGGAACTTGGATGTTGGGTTGTAATGAAGTATACATACCAGAGAGATGGCATTTTATCCAAATCTTAAGTCTTGTGATGCTGGTGGGGATAAACATAAATTCTTCTTTTTTTACATTGTATACATCAAATTATCAACATTATTATGTATAAATTATTAATTAATGTGAATGAGTGAATAAGAACAGAAATGTTGGCCTGAACAGCAGTACTCCTCTTTCCTCATACAGTCCAAAAACATGCACGTTTAGACTACATTCACGCCCAGGCCTTCCTTGGAAAAAAGACTGATCCCAGTGGGATTTGCTTGGTTAAATAATGGTTAAATAAATATTACCTGCATATAACATTTAGAAAATCAAATAAAGCTAAATGAGTCCAGAAAATTCTAATAATTTCACCTAAAAAGCTCAATTATTTCTAAAGCTCTGATCCCGGTTTGATTGAAATGAATCAACATCAAGCTTTTTGATCAATCATAGTGCTTGCCATTTCATGAAATGTTTTAGATCTTCCTAATTAAATAACTCAACATTTTTACTTTACTGCCATCCTCTGTCCTCTGTTGAAAGCTTGCTAAGCTTCGTTTTTTTGTCTTCGCTGGGTTTATTTAAATAAGTAAATTGTTGTGGATCAGCATCTAGTTCTGCCTTTTGAAGTTGGACGTTGGACAGGAAGCATTTCAAAGCCTACTTAAGCAACAAAGAATTGGATGACATGCACAGTGGCATCTGTAGTTTAATTTGGGATGTACAAAAAATAAATGCATTCTAAACAAACCATACTAATTGTTGGAGTTTGAACTAAATTCCACACAGGAAAATCTGAGCAAGTCTTTGTTTTTTTTTTACTAGGGGTGTAAGAAAATATTGATCCACTGAAATATTACATCATTTCTTTTCATGATGCTGTATCGATTCTCAAAAAGACAGTTTTAATTAAGGCTTACGTTGTAAGAAGAAATGTGAAATACAAATGCAGTTCTCACTGTTCATTGTTCTTTTGGTTGTATAAAAGAAAATGAATGTAATCAGATTTTATGCATGTAATGCTTTTTGTACTGATGTTTTTTTAATTACAATGTTTTGGAGAGTAAATTGGCCATGTATGGCTTTGCTTACAGTATCAACAACTACTAATATGTGAACAACAAGAATGATAGGCTATCTTTAAGTATTATAGATAAAAGTCATGCAAAAGAACCTTGGTTAACACGTCTGCACCATTTCAAGGTTGACATACACAAAACTGCAGAAGAACATGGAAACCATCAGATCATCTGTATGAACACTATTTTATGACGCAATGATTGTTTGTTGGAGACTAGTCCATTTACTTTAGAGTTTTGGCTTCTTTCTTTTCTCCTGGCACGTGCGCTCATCAGAACACAGAGAAACAGATGCGGCAGCTGGCAGTCATCCCTCCTATGCTGTTTGACGCTGAGCAGCAGCGCATCAAGTTCATCAACATGAATGGATTAATGGATGACCCCATGAAGGTTTACAAGGATCGGCAGGTCATGAACATGTGGAGCGAGCAGGAGAAGGACACATTCAGAGAAAAGTAAGCAAAATACTTGAGGCCATATATATTTACATAATAAATAAGTGCCTGTGTGAAGATTTCTATTGCTGCTGAACACCACATTCAGCTGTTGTAGACCTGGGCAGGTGACCTGTTGCCTTCTTTGTAAACAACAAATATAATAAGCAATAATGTGTAGTTCCCTATGAAATTTAACGGTAAACGGTCACTGAGTTGTGATAAGGAAGTGAATCTTCCCATTTTTTGAGAATGGAGAGAGAACATTTAGAGCAAAGTCTGCAGTAAAACTGGTGACTTGATACTCGCATACAAAGAGCTTTAGTCTCTTCTTCAGATTTTACCACATTCTCTAGTGACTTCAGTCTTTTTTAATACAGAAAGGGACACTTGACTTTTGAAATTGCTGTAGATTTAAATAAACTTTAACTCAAATTTCTTCTTCTCCCAAAGGTTCATCCAGCATCCCAAAAACTTTGGCCTGATTGCATCATTTTTAGAGAGAAAGGTATGTTATTATGTTTGTTTATTTCCTGGTTTTAAAGTGAACTGCCTTAACAGAAAGTGAAACGTCGCATCTCATTTCTTTTCTTTGCTTCAGACGGTGGCAGAGTGTGTGCTCTTTTACTACTTGACCAAAAAGAATGAAAACTACAAGAACATAGTACGAAGGAACATCAGACGCCGAGGAAGAAGCCAGGTATTCTCCGCTGTTAAAGACAAAGTATGAAAAAAATAATTATGTTGGACCTCAGGTTCTTATCTAGTCGGACAGCATGGAAACTGTTGTTGATGAGCAGTCGTTTTTAAACACGAGGCAGTTCACAAGGCGTGCAATAGTGATTGGTATAGGAAAATTAAATTATTATTAACCCATATTTTATCTGAGTAAATGCTTGAACTGTCAGCTTGCAGTGACAGAAGAGTGTCCTCACAGAGGAGGAACAGAAAGTGCAGTGCCACACATTAAAATGAGCAAATTGTCATGACTACTATTTGGGTAGTTTGCAGCGTTTTTAGCTGCACTTCACTACGAGCTGCTTCTAAACCAGCTTGTTTAGACACACTGCAGATCTCTATTCACAGTCAGTCAAATGATCTTCTGCCTTTGAAAAGGTTGAAATCTGTGCGTCATATGAGACTAGAAGACCGTGTGACTCATTTGTTCTCTGTTGAGTTCCTTTGAAAGGAGAGGAAGAGGGCATTAATAATTTCAAAGGAAGAAAGGGCCCCTCAGTGATAGTAAATGACTCAGATAGCTTCTGAATAGAAATGCATTTAGATTTCATTCCCATTCCAGCTATCTTGCTCACCCCTGTGCTCACTTACCTGCAGGATCTGTGTAAAATGTCCTTTTTTATTTTTAGAGGCAGAAAATGCAGACATGAAATAGAGCAGAAAGTATGCCTGATGGATTATCATCTAATTAATCGTCATCCGTTTAAGCTGTTTGGTTTGGCTGCGTGTGTGTAGTAGTGTGAACTCTCACCCTGAAAGCCCAGACACGCAGGAAACTGGTACGGAAGTGGTTCTGGGTACTTGATGAGCTGCAGTTATACAGCAGAAATGTGTTGCTATAATTTCAGGACTTTCGGATCCTGTTTTGTTTTACGTCAGCAGAAAGTGTGTGCAGAATGTGTGTTGTATTTCAAACAAACAAAATGGTAAATTATTTTTTCTTTTGTTTTTCAAACAACAGCAAGATGATTATCTCAACAACATGCCAGCCAGGCTGTGTATTTGCCTCTGCCACACTCCAAATCTTTATCACAACTTGTTTCTTTAATAATCTGGAAGCCCAAATGCACAATTTACAGGACACATTGCTTAGATGAATGTGTCTTCCAGTTATTTTTAATTATGTTTGAAATTAAGTGTTTTATTATTGTTCCTATGTGTTTTGCTTCAGCATGGCCAGCAGCAGCAGCAGCAACAGCAGCAACAACAACAAGTGAGCAGAAGCAGCCAGGAGGAGAAGGAGAAGGAGGAAAAAGAGAAAGAGGGGGAGCGAGATGAGGAGAAAAATGAAGCTGAAGAGAAAGAAGATGGAATGAAGTAAGTTATTTTTATTTTTAGAGCTGTTAAAATCGCTGCAAAGATAATTCTTCTGACAGTTGCACAGAATTAGATTAAACTGAGTGAAATGTTTTTTAACATTCAACACATTTTAAGAGGCAGAACCTAGTTTGTTTGTTTGTTTTAGCATGCACGCTTTTTGGTTGAAATGAAGCAGGAGGAAAATCGAGCTCTTGGTCGTTCTGTTGACATACCTGTTTGTCTTTTTGCATTCATTAAAAAAAAAAAGGGAAGCACCTGTGTTCCAGTTGTTTTAGTGTTGAAATAAGTGGTGTAATTATACCAGCTGTCAGTTTGAAAAGTTTGTGTGTGTGAAAGGTGTGCGTTTGTGTGCCGGGACTGGGCGGTGCAGTAATCAAGATGAAACTTTTTTTTGGCAAAGTACCAACAAAAGAGACAAAACACTGCTTTCTGTTGCCTGAAAATACATAAACTGTCTATACATGTCTTTAGGCACTATTTGATGTCAGCTGAGGCCGAACACCCCAGTTGTTTCAAAGCAACGTCAGCTCATATTTACAGCTCATATTTACAGGCAGCTGGGTTGGAGACAAAAAAAGATGACAAACCATTGCCGGCTGCTTCCCTGTTCTGAAGCAGGGCTCGGGGACTCTGTGACTCTTTGCACACTCCGCTGCCCGCCTGTCACCCCTGGCACAGCTGGCTCGCCTATATTTAGAGTGCTACTAGCTCCCCACAGCAAGATTAATAGAGTGGGAGGAAGATGAATGAAAGAGCAGGAGGTTCAAACTCCACGGCTATCTTCTGGCATGCCATTGTGCTGACACACAATAAATTATCCTTGAAAATAAAAAGAATGAAAGAACAATGTGGGCCTACAGCTCAAGTTCACATTTTGTCTTATTCTGCAGGATTGTATAGCTTTTTCAAATCCAGAAAATACTTGTCTGCTCTAAGGCTTTTGGTACTGAATTCAAAGCGTTGTTTGACACAAGCAGCAACAGGAACGTTGTGGTTTAAGTTCAACTTTGAATTTAGTTTTCAGGATTAACAGATTTGAAATATAATATGTTCTTTAAGTCTATTAATCACCACACAGCAAACTTTTTATAATTACTCCATAATAAACACAACTGTAACAAAAGGGCATACGATTGTCTGTTGATTGACCCATCCATCACATTATTGTAAAAAACAGTATTTTAGAGAAGTTTTGAGGAAAATGAAACAAAATAAATAATGATGTCTAAAGGTAAGGTCTTTGCTAATTAGGATCTACATCTCATGGCCAATTTATTTTCCAGAACATGATCCTTTGGCTGATTAGTACTCTAATTCATCAAGCTCACTTATTGGTCTACAAAAAAGTGGATGCAAAGGGCAACGTGTTTTTCTTTAGTGACATTTAACTGCAGAGCAGTGATTTTGTTGTTGCAAGTACCTTAATGAAAAAGTTGCTTATTTGTTTATCTTTTCTTTGCTGTGGACCTGTTAGGATGCTATTGTTTAGGTTTTGCTGGTATAGATGTAATTTTCTGTAATAAAGTTTATGTAACCATTAGCTTCAGACTACAGCAAAAATAACAGACATCAATTTTTTCTTTTGTTCTCTTCTTTTTTGACTGTTCACATTTTTCTTAAAAGGGATGATACTTCTGGAGAAGATGCAGAGGACAAAGAGCCTACTGTGGCTGTCAAAGGGAGACGTACTGCCAACAGCCAAGGCCGTCGAAAAGGCCGGGTTACCCGCTCAATGACCAGCGAAGGGGAGGAAACCACCACGCCTCCACTCAACAACGAGCTTGGTTAGTCTAGATTTGCTCCGCCACCAAATACACACGTCATATCTCATATTATTATAACAATCCACAAACCTGCTCATGAAGACTCACTTGATATTGTAATTTGAAAAGGCAAACACTGTGACAAGATTTATTTTTTTATCAAAACCATTGTAAGTCAGTGTTGTCATCTTAACAAAAGGCAACTTAAATCTGTGATTCTATGCTTTCTAAATGCCTAATTTGAAACAGGATGCAATAATTAAATTGCAACAAAATTGTATTTGACGAGCTATTAACAGGCTGTGAATGAGCACAGATGATTATTCCACTTGTATCAAGCATTTCATAATGAGTTTGATCAGCTTTGATTTAGCTGTAGCCTCCTGTTCCTCACCACAAGAGTGTACTGTTGTTCCTTTGTCCTCTTTTTTGTTTCCTTCACTTGTCCTGCACTCATTACCTTTTGGCAAATTGACAGATAAATATAATGATAGGAAATGAAACTGTAAATTTCACTTGATTTGATGGTGTGTGTGTGTGTAGTTCTTAACCCTATTGGCCAATGAAACCCAGAAGTGTTGCTAAAGAACAAATCGTCTGCATCAGCACTGTTCCCCTGCTTAGGCCTCTTTCTTTTTCTTTTGATGGTAATTCGGCCATGTCTACTCTAAAACTCTTGCTTGGGGCCAGCACAGGGTTTTCGATGTGTCAGCAGTTGTTTGCATGCCGCAGTCGTTCCTGCAGTACAGGTTTAGTCACAGGGAATCCCCAGGTGACCGAGCCTATAGGGTTCACAGTCAGCAGCGTCACCCTTGCCACTGTTTGTTCTGCTAGTAGTGTTGCTAATCTGCCCACTGTGCCCTTCATATGTCCATATAGAGTACACACAAGCACTGCAGCTCCATTGTTTCCCACACAGGGACAGTCAGGCTTACAGCCTGTGCAGGGAAAGAAGCCAGTTGTTATGTCTATAATCATTAACTGACTTCTCTCCTTGGATTTCCTGCTTCCTCCATCTAAAACAAATAGTCCCTAGCAACCCGTGCTGCAGTGCTTCACTGGTGAGCAACACGAGCCGCTCTGCCCCCCACCCTTTCTTTCTTTTTTCTTTTTTTAATGTGTGTCTCCCCTCCTTTCCTTCTGTCAGTCACTCCCTAACTGACTTTGTGACAGCTGCCCACTGCCCCGCCTTCTCTAACTTGGTGGTTCTCTATTTTCTCCCCTTTTTTTTTTTTCACAGTCAATCTGGAAATGAATGAGAGCTCTCGCTGGACTGAGGAAGAGATGGAAACCGCCAAAAAAGGTAATGCAGAGGGATTTCTTTTTACCGTTTCAGCAGTTTGATTGTCTTTAATTTGCAGTGCAGTTAATGAACATTAGCAGCTCAGGCACAGCTCGAAAGCACAGGCAACTGATGCGGGTGTGACTTCCTGTTATAAGAGCGGCAGTTGCCACGTGCTGTTGGGTTGCGTCTGTGCATGTATTTGTCCGTCTGCCTGGAAGGCATTTGTTGCTCTTTGGAGCCATTTCCCCGTCTCTCTGGGTCAAGGCAACTTGTCTTTTATCAAGGCTGTAAAGTCTGCCCTCTTATCAGGCAGCCCCTGAAAATGCAGCAGTCATTAACTTGGACTGTTTATTGTCTCTGACTGAAGATTACCCAGAAGCCTTTGCCAGATTCACAGAGGTCACTGACATTCTGCCCATTTCCCTAGCACCAGCACTCAGTGTGTGTGTTTTATAGTTGTCGTTACCTGCCGTGCACTAACCTCAGTTACTGATTGAATGAGATCCTCATGGTCAGTGACTTGTTTTTCCACAGAACTCTGCTAATTGAGATTTGTCAGTCATCAGTTGCACCAGATCTAATTCTTATCAGTTATCGTAATCTCAAAGACTTAACTCTGAACATTACTGCACAAATTCTCTGCAGCTGCTTTGTGACGATTAGCAAACATTGTGTCACTGTGCCTGGTGTGACTCGTGAATTGTTCTTCTCTAATTCAGCAGCAGATAAAATGCATCTTTCAAGCGATATTAAGTGTGTTTCTGCTTTGGACAGTGTAGCGTCTGCTGCAAAATGAGGTTTTGTGTTGGCAGCCGTCAGTGTGTGTTACGAGGTTATTTTACGATAACTGGTGCTGGCCTCACTTGAACATGGTCCTGTGTAGTAATCCTGGTTAATGTCTTCAGTTCCTTTCTCCTGCCGTGGGATTAGTGGGGCACTCCATAGCAGAGGATTAGCCTGCCAGCTCAGCCCAAGCTGGGCTTCCATGAAGGCTTATGTAACCACAAAAACAGAACTTCTGCTACAGTACTTTGAGGCTGAAGAGGTGCACTTTTTATTTTTTAAATGTTTTTAGGAGTTAGTTCTCACCTGCCCAACAGGTTTCCTTCAGTCCCAGAAACTAGAGCTGGGCGATATGATCAAAATTTTATATCACGGTATTTTCAACATTTTCACCGGTTTCATGGTATTTGACGGTATTTTTCTTTTCATCACAGCTCAGCTGATAATAAAATGTACAAACCCTGCTTATTGAGTTTTTTTCATTTTACTGTACCTCTGTCTGTGTCTCTGTTTCCCTCCNGGTGGTTGGAGACAGTAGTCATGCATTTTGGTCCAGTCATGAAGGAGGAGGGTTAAAAGATTATGATCGGGTTTATTGTTTTATGTTATTTATTAAAGCTTATCAGCACGACTCACCTTGCACACCAGTCAATTCCAACTCCACTACGAACTACTTCCCGCAGGCTTTTCACAATAGAACAACGTTAAGTCTCCATCAGCATAACRTCTCCATATTAACTAACAGCGTTAAATCKAACTGTGCACGTCACTGAAGAGGTGTTTACTACATTCAGCGACGGCGAAAACGGGATGTTTTTTTAAACGTCGGTCAATATAAGCAGCGGAATCACCACCCGCTGCTGCAAATAGCTGCTCCAAACATTAGCATGCTAATGCACATAGCGGTGCAGCAAGGAAAAATGTCCCCCGGGAAACAACAGTTCACTGGCGGCCGCGATGAAACGTTCCACTATTTAAACCGGAATGTCCGGTATTCAAAACATTCATATCATAACAAAAATAAAAACCGGTATTTGGTACAAAACGGTATACCGCCCAGCACTACCAGAAACTCTCCAGGACGGTTACCTGCTCTCCACATGCCTCTTCGTGGTGAATCCCAGCGGCATGAACTTTATGTAAATATTTTTAAAAGTAGCTTAGGTGTCTTGATGCTGTTGTATTTATCCCCTTAAGCTAACCAGATCTGAATAATGACATTACAGTGCTTGGCGGGACATTGGCACTGGAATATGTTAGTGCCAGCCAGTTCTGATTTTAAGTTTGATGAGACCACACTGCTCAGACAGCAGACGGGCAGCTTTGTAAAGCTTCTCCATTAAACCCATCAGCTCTGCTTGTCTTGTGTGGGTGGGTGTACATGCCTGAAATGTGTTGCAAAGGTTGTGTTTGTGTGCACTGGGCCCATGCGGTGTGTGTGGTTGCATGTGCAGTAGTTTTGGTAGAGGGTTTATGTAAGTGCTTTAATCTGACAGGCTTTGCTTGGGTGCAGCCAAGCAGCTGGATAATGACTCCTGCACTGTTTGCAGGGGGAACCCATTTAAAGGAGCAGCAGGAAGAGGCTGCCGTATTATCTTTTCTGTCTTTCTCCTCTGCTGTTGCTCCGTCTCTCACTTCTGTCTCTGGGAGATGGCAAAAGCCCAGATTGGCAGGAGCTGTGGAAGATTTGGCAAACGTCTCATTTCCCCCATCCACTTTCTCTCTCTCCCCTCACTTTGTGTTGTTATAAACTGGAGAGGTCACATTCAAGATGAAAAACAGGTCAGTCAGGAAAAATGCGAAAGCCTTTATGCTTTCTCATGGTATCAACATCAACTCTCTCTCTCTGCTCCCTGTGCCACCTCTCCTCTCTGTGCTTACTCTCCACTTCTAAATCCTTTCCTTTCCCTTTCTCCATTGTCTCTCTGGCTCGGAGGCTGTGCTCTTTCTCTATCTCTTTCCTCTCCCTCACTGCTTTCTGTTTACTCTTGGACTGCCTGAATGTGTGTTTATGTCTGCGTGCAAGAGTATTAACAAGAGAGACAGAGAGAGGGGGGTTCCAGCGAGTTTGTACTCACTCATGCATATGTGTGTGTTGGTGTGTGTGCGTGCGCGCCGCTGTGCCTGCTGGCAGAGGGAGGCAGGGGGAGGGACAGACTGACGGAAAGAGGGAGGGAGGAAGAAGGAAAAAAAAGATAGAGGAGAGATCAGATGAGGGAGAGAAAGGCTGAGCACATAGCACCGCCCCACAGTCCCACTTTCCTGTGGAAGTCTTTCCAGACGACCGCCATTGGGGAGAGACGCGGCAGAGAGGAACACGCCAGCACTCACCGGAGCGCAGGGAGGACATAGTGGAAAAGAAAAAGGAGGGGAGAGGCCAGGAGCATGTGCCATTTCGAAGCGTGTCGACCTGACACCGGCTCAAGTATCAAGTCAGCTGGCAGAAAGAGCGCCAAGACTGAGCTGTTTTCTCAGCTCTGGATCGGAAGGCCCAGCCCTGAAGAGCTTCCCAGCTGGTCCTCTAGAGATCTGACCGTCTGATAGCGCTATCCTGAGCGGGGCCACCGAACGACAGCTGGAGTGACAGGCATGTGACAGACAGGAACAACAACTTTCTGGCTGCACCAGGTGTTGATTGGACTTTATCTGGGAGGAGCTAATGGGAATGCAGTGTTGTGATTGGATATGGAGTTAACCACCTGTTTCAGTATTGCTACTGCTTATTGGATGTTTTCCTCGTGTGTTCCTTCTGCAAATAAGTCCCTGAGTCAACCAGCTTAGGATTGTGTATTTGTTTGCATGTGTTGGARTAAACAGAATGTTATTTGGCATTATAACAAAGTGAGCCTTGCCTTTCAGTAGGTGAGTTTCTCTGGTAATGTTTCAGCTTCACGGTGTGGTGCAAAGACTCCAGCTTAGTTGTTTAATACTTCTTATTTGATGCAGCTATTTTACTTCATCAGAGGAAGTCGTTGTCTGTCACATGTCTCAGTTCTCTTGGAAAGAGTTGGCACTACTTGTTTGTTCGTGGACTTTTCTTTCAGTGCCTTTTATTGGTAACAACATTTCAGTGATACACAAACTTGTTTCACTCAAACTCCTTATAGGTTATTCATGTGCAGCAGTTTTTAAACTGTGCAGACTTAAGGTCCTGTCACATTATAACATTTTAGGCAACCTGTGAGAATTTTGTCAGACTTTTAGGATGTCTGCACTGAAGATGAAATTTAAAAAAATCAACTGGAAGCCTATTTTGGACATATACATAATGCATTGCTAATGATTATATGTAAAATATGAGTTATTTAGTCAAGTTGTCTAAGATGTTATCATGTGACAGCCTTTAAAGAAGACTGATGCTTGTTTTGACATTTCTCTTATCATAGATTAAATAATAACTATTTCTAGATGATTTAGAGCTTTACTATCCTTTTTGCTGATTTTATGTTTTTATCAATGAATATCTGGACAGATGAGCTATATCAACATGGACATAACTGTAAAAAGGTGAATGGATGGATTGAACTTTTAATGCAATTCTATTATTATGGCAGATCTTGTATGCCAGGAGTAAATGTGTAGAAATTAATTCAAAAAGAGATTTATGTTACAAAAATTAACCGTGTAAGCAAATAAGAGCAACTTTTATCTCACCAGTTAGTAATAATGTCAATGCTGGTTTATTCAATCATAGTGATAAATATTGGAGTTGAAATGACAGAGCTGTTAACGGCTGTCCTCTCCTCTCCTGCAGCTCTGAGTCCTTTCTCTTGTCTTACTGCTTCCATTAAGCAATGAGATGCAGAGACCTCTGAACCCATGTCCAAGGTTATCCTGAGATGTGTTGGCTTTGTGCCCATTAATACCCCCCCAACAACCTTTCAAGAAGCTGTCCTGTTGCCAGGACCTGTCAGGCTGGCACAGAAAACAAGTGGGTGGTGTAAACTAAGCCTCTTACAACACACACTGTTAATGAGCTGCCTTTGGCTAACAGCAGACCCAAGGAGAGGGCCACTGGAGCAAACCCTGCACCATCTTTTCACTAGTACATGCACGACGACTGTGCTCTACAACTCTACATCTCCTCCTTTAGCATGGATGCACTCTGAGTGGTGTGTGTGTGTGTGTGTGTGACCGAGATGCTTCAAACTGGTCT